TACATACATACATACATACATACATACATACATACATACATACATACATACATACATACATACATACATACATACATATTAGTTTATTAGTTTATTAGTTTATTTTTCTAAGATAATACAATGAGAATGAATACAATGAATACAATGAGAATTAGAGGTTCATTTTGTTATTTGTCTTGTCGTAGTCGAAAAATGTCAATTTTTCTTCTGTTCAATTGTCTTGTTTCAGGAATATGACGACGGTTTCTCCTGTGTCAACGCAGAGCTACCACTGGCGTAGTGAATCGCGTCAAACACAACATACCGATAATCGTCAGTCTTTTCGTATATTTTTCAAATAAATTATTGTTCTACGTCGTTTTGTTGACTTTCAACGTCAAACGTATTGCTAGTCTTCTATGAGAAGCACCTGTTGTTTTCTATCATAAGCAAAGTTTTGTACTACTTACTTGATACTTGAATGGCTCGTCCTCACTGGTTGTGCGAGCTCAAGCATTATCTCCATTTTTCGGAGATTTGCTGGCTAAGCCATTGTGGTTCCCTGGAATGTCGAGGTTAGCCTGGCCAAAGTCTGCCCCAGGTCGTTATCACCACGGACAGTCGCCACCCTTGTGAATCAAAGGGAGATTTGCTACTATGCGACCAATTTGATACCAGGGCGGTGATGGATCCTGCTGTTGGTTTACTCCTAGCTAGGCTTCGCGTTGAAAATGCCGGACTCATTCTCAGCTTGGAAGACCCTACCGGGGGTACGAATCCTAGCGCTGTACATCGCAGTCCGACATCCAGGAACACCTCCCAGCCACGATGAGGCGGTAAACCGTTGGGAGGGTAAAAAACAGGTATGCATTCAGTTTCCTCCAACGATGCCTAATGAATGCATGGCGCATCCCTCAGGGATTGAACAACGCCTAGAGATTTATTCTCTTCATCCTTTCGTTTTCTTCCTTCACTATTCAGTTGTTCTTGTGCAGCTTCTGGTACTGGCACTCATAAGCAATATACCTGCTGATGTTATAAGCTTCACTTCTCTTCTATTAGGTCTTTCCGAAATTAATGTTAGATATCAATCTGTATTTTTAAATCAGCATATCTCAGATCAGAACAAGGTTTATTAATCGAAATAAAATTCGTTGGAATTTGTACATTTTTGCGAACTGGAAACATTAATTTATACCAGCTGCAGAAAATTTTGATTCCTGGCGCGATGAAGGGGGGTTGAACGCGGTTTTGGTCCCGGCTTGGATAATGACGAATTTCTCGTACCGGAAGCTGTGAAGGTGTTTGAAGAAGGGATATTCGGCAGCAGAGAGGTTAGGCGAATTTCGTGGATGAGGCAGGATTTCGTATCTCAGCTCGTTTAACTTTCATCGTTAGTAATGAGACGCGTTGCCGCGTGTTGTCCTGAGAAAGAACTGATGCCTTTCTGTTGACTAATGCGAGGCGCAGACATTGAAGTTTCTCCTACACTTCGTCGAATTCTCGACTACGCGCTTTTCTATCGTAATGGTTTCACCTGTATTAAGAAGCCGGAAGGAGAAATGGATCAAACCAGCTGTAGACCACCAAGCGGTCAGGATGACTCTCTTTTGGCCGAAATTCGGCTTGGGAAGTGTTGCGGAGCTTCATCGTAGTCCATCGAATACCTTAAAACGGCGATCCCTTCGATTATCATTCAATTCCTACGGCATTTATTTGTTGACCCTCTTCGACTTCCCAACTATATTTACATGCTCCACGACGACTGAGATTTCTTTTCTAAGAGTGAGATCTTCAACAAGTCAAACAGTTAGATATGTATTTGCTTTCGCCCAATTCCATAATATTCTTGCCCTCATATCCTGTTAATCTTTCTAGTCTTTTGGCTCCACTACGTCTGAGTTTGAATTTGTAAAAGATTTGTCAAAATCCCCTTGTTCTGAGATCTGCAATCTTAGCCTTTGAAGTTTGTTAACATCACAAATTACATTATAATTAAATTACATGGAGGGAAAACGCATAGAATGAGCTTTGCAATGATATATAACAGTATAGCATTTTAAAAAAAACTACTGCTAAAGCAAGTAGAAGAAGAATATTACAAATCCAACATCAGTTTCCGAAAACCTAATAGAATATACCCAGCAGTATTGAAGTTCCAATTCAAACTTCACTACTGCAAAAGGAAGTCAAATTCAGAACACTTCTAGCGTCCTTCAACAATTAGTTCCTAGTATTCTGTCAAGTAGGCCTCAGAACTAATTCATCTTGTGGATGAGAAATTTCTGGATTATTCCATATATATGGATAGCATTGCCGCTTTAGTAGAGTTTTGACACAAGTGAATTAGATTCTGGAAGAGAAAAAGTGCAGCTAATGCGTTGGTGCGTTGGTGTTGCTCAGTAAGAAAAAGGATAAAGCTCTCGGCGTTGATCAATCCCTGAGGGATGCGCCATGCATTCGACTTCATTAAGTATCGCTAGAGGTGATTGAATGCATATCTGGCCTTTACAATGATTCGCGATGGCCTACCGATGTATCGAGTCAGTGCTGCTTTCCTCCGAGAAATGTCTGGTACCAAATTGCCGACCCCGAAGGGATGGAAGGCTTGGTAGGCTATGGGCGCGGGGATCGATTCCACGTCTGTTTCAGGGCGTCTCCGACCACTGCGCCAGGCGCGCCCTATACTGCTCAGTATGCTTGAAAATAATCGCCAGCAATTTCGCAACTGGTTATTAGACCACATTTCAGGGTATGCAATCCTTGGCTCATTCAGCAGAAGATGAACTTCGATCGGCATCGAACAACACGAATGATATAACATTTGTTTATCAATTCGAATGCAGCAGAAGTGTTTGTATAGGGTAAACGGATACATTTACAGCCTAAGAAGTGTCGTACAAAAACACCATAAATATTATTCTTCGTCTCCCTGATTTTTAATAGTATGCTTCACCTCATCCTAACGTTTCTTCGCCTCATTGTGGCTGTGAGGTGTTCCTGGGTGCCAGGCTGCGATATACGGCGGGTGGATTTATCCCCCCGGCATGGTCTCCCATGCTGAAAAGGAGTCCGGTTTTTCCACAGAGAAGCCTAGCTAAGAGTAAACGAATACCAAGATCGACCATCGAACTGGTATCAAACTAGTCGCATAGTGGCAAATCTCTCTCTGATCCACAAGGCCTGCGGCTTTCTGTGGTGATGACGACCTAGAGCAGACTTTGGCCACGCCGACCTTGGGACTCGAGGGAAATAAAATGGTTAAACCAACAAAACTCCGAAAAGTGCAGATTATGCTGGGGCCCGCACAACTAGCGAGGACACCCCGTCCAAATATGAAAGTAAGTAAGTATCCTTTCCCTTTTGACTTTGTAGAATGAATACTTACCATAGCTGTTCCAATAGTAGTATTGTTTCTGCAGTGGATAGCTAACTATTGGAAATACTGATGATGGCATAAATACAAAAATCGTTATTAATCAATACCTATGAAGTACACGTCGTGAGATCGAACTGCTACCCACCTTCTACTAACAGCTTCCTCAGGCAATCGGATTTTGGGTTTTCCTCCATAACATTGCTTACTTCGTGACATGACCACATGTAATCCATGTTTTGGTCTCGTCAACGCTAAAGATTCTTCGATCGTTAACGTTTGCTTGCATTTAAAATGACCAGGTAACTGCACACGGAGGGTTACACAAATAACAGTCATCACTAGTGTATTAATGAAAACTCATCCTGAATGGAAACTTATACTTGTAGATGGCTTAGGAAACAATGTTTTTGATTTGGGGCTCGCATAGTAGCGTACAAGTTCGCACGTGGCGTTGAAAATGTGGAGCTAAAGTTATGAAAAGGTTTAAAGTTGTTTGTCAATTGTAAAATTCACTGCTCCCACGGGAATAAACACATCCTGGTTAAGCCACCTCCACACCAGGTATTCGGGAAAGAGCCATAAAAAGCAATCCGTTCCTTGTTATGGTGAAGGGTGGACTTTCCACAATCAAGACCAATGACTCATATGCAAGTAATCTTTGTAAAAGCATTATTCCTTCACCAGTCGCTCATACTCTCTAGAGCTTTCGAGTTATAAAATCTGAAAGTTGTATAGTCATGCTGTTATTCCTTCAAGACCTTTTTTCCTTTTGAATTATGCCATACTCTCATATCATTTAGACTTTCAGAAATTCGTAGTGACTCACGTGCTTCCAATCCTCCGGACCCCGTCGAGCGGCATGTGGCCAAATGGCGTAGTGAAAGTCGTATCAGTAACAAAGTGTTTCGGAACGACGAAGAACCTAGTCAACGTAATTTGCATTTGATTGCCGTTATTTTGACTTAGTGACGCCCTCTAAGTCGAATCATATAGGTCAGTAGTATTTGGACTATCCAGAACCTCCGCAATGAATGACTGCATCACTTTCTCGAAAAAGAAAAGCCTTAAAAGCGTTGTGACAACCACTAACTTCCATCTACCCTTTTCCCTTTTTTTTCACCGCCTAGTTCGACATATCGACAAGCGCTTGAAACCATTAACAAAAAAACCGGCTAAAACCCTGAAGTCTACAAGCAGGAGCTGACGTAATTGCTCCTTAAATATTACCTCGAACATAATTGCCAGTTGGAGTGCCTGAACAACACGCAGTGCGCGATCACCGATTTCGCCTCAGGACCCACAAGAAATAATTCAGGAACATCATCTTTGGTTTTGAATATACTCATGCAGAATTCTAAGCATCAGTTCTTTCTTTGCCTTTCACTCTTTTTAACAATCACCACCGGAGCGCTATGGATGGATGTAAGTTGGCAAACAACCATGAGTTGTTCTACGATGGCTCAATGGCTTGCAATCTAAGTATAATAAATATGTATGTGGTAATAGGTTTTTACTTTACGAAATACACTAAAATTCGTTCACATGGCAAATTTTTAAATAAATGAATAGTTGGGGCCGTTCGATTCCTAAGCAGGAAGATGTGAAATTCTCGGTAACTAAAAAAGGGAGCTAAAAATGTTGCAGCCTCAATTTTTCCCCTAGTCAAACGACTTCGTCTATTCTATTCTATCAAATGGGTTGGGCCTATCACCTCCTCCTCAATAAGCCTCCGCCGACTAATGACAGGGACGGCTACCACCCTAGACGAATTCGAGTCGCCAGACAGCCACGAACGTTTCCCCGATACACAGCGACCAAAACTTCCTGTGCCTCTGTAAACATTCTACCACGACTGTCTTTAGTTTCCACTAAGAGTCACGCCCGAGTAACTTAAAACGTGAAGGCGATGGTTCCTCAAGAGATGGCCGAGCTCCCGCTCAAACTCGATCACCTCGACGGAAGACAGTTGCAGGGAACCAAAACAAACAGAAGAAGTACTGGAGGCCTCAGATCATTGAGGACGAACCATCAGTATATCTCTATGGTGTTTAAAGTAAAAGCTAAATAAAAGGCTTAGAGAAATGGATATCAATAGAATTCGAACTGAGTGTTAACGGTGATAGTATCATGAAAGAGTATCATGAAAGCTTGCTTAGTAACCCATTCTCCATCGTCTAGTTAGCGGAAAAGCTCTGAATTCATTCGAACGCTCACAATTTCAGAAGATGAGATTGTCAGCGATACACTGAACGCTTTAAAAAACGACGTCGAACAAACAACGGAAGTGATTAGGAAGCGACAACAACAAATGGTGAGTGAGACTTCGTTTTTGCTTTAATTAGTTGAATTCACTGATTTTACCTCCCTCTTTGATTTAATTATTGATCAATTACATTTAATAGTATGGCCGTGGACGATAAATAAAGGTTCCATAGTTGTCGTGTTGTTCTCAGTGTTCATTACTTTTTAAAAATGCTTTTTGCGTTGAATACGCTTTAAATGGATAGAAGAGCATTTAGGAATTAACAGTAGTAATTGTAGTTATAGATTTAAATTTTCCAGCCTTCAGCAAATGTTTTGTCGATTGTTTCCAGCGAATAGAACGTCGTCAGTTTCAAACGGAAATGGAAGTGACCGGTAGGGTTTCGGTTTCACCGACCGATGAATGGCTAAGTACAAGACTAAGGGTAAGTCCCACAGCAGCACCTTTGGGATAACGGATACCGATGAAAAATTATCGGTACCAACTTTGTCCCTGTTCTGACTGAGACTTTCTAAGGGTGAGCTCTAGGAGTACCCAACAAACACATAGAGATTTAAAAACATTACATTGCAGTACATTGAAAAGCCTTTTGAAAAGGAAAAGAACACAGCTGTTATACTGCGCTTTATCAATACCTGTTATTATTTTAGTTTTGAAAAGAGAATTCCTCATTTTCCAGACCGTTTCTACGGAGGACATGAGTCGCGAGCTCGGTAAAATCAAGGAGGATCAACGTAAGTCTGCTTGGAATTGGAAGGGAGAAAATAAAAGAACGTTCTGGAATTGAAAACGGGGACACAATTTTTAAAATGCTTCCATGAATGCCTGATAACTTGTACAAATGGCGGAAATATAGTTGAATTTCGGCAGGAGAATCAATAAAGCCTATTCACCGTAGAAAATGGACGAGTTGAGTCGCAGCACAACTGTGGTGATGTTGTGTGATATGGTATGATAGCATGTTAAATGTCCATCCATGAAGGGTCTATTATTTGACTACGACACACCAGTGTACGCAGTTTGCTTCTAGTTTCTAACGTTACCCATGTTTTACAGGAAAATTACGGTCGAACGTTACGTCAAGTGACTGTTCAATTTAAAATCACAGCTAGAAAGTTTTGGTATAGGTCAAAATGCTGTCACCGATACTCTAGCTGCACTAGTCTATGATGTGAACGCCACAGCTGAAGTTCTTAGACGAGGTTCACTTAAGAGAGGAAAAGATGGCAGAAGATCTACACATAAAGAGGTTTTTATTGACAAAGAAAAAATCCTGATTTGAATCCTCTAATACCTGTACGACTATTGTGATTTTTTGAGTTTTAGGAAATCGAATATCGTCTGCGACTTACGCCTGCTCCCGAAGCCCAGCAGCACCCATTTCCTACGCCTAAGCCAAGACAAGGTTGGGACGCTATCTTAAAAGAAGTAACTTTGGATGTGTATAGAGTTTTAAAATAAACAATTAAATGATTTTACTAAAAGGTTTCTAAAAGAAGTGATCAGAGTGACCTAGTCAAACTTTCCAAGATTTAGTGCCAGAAGAGAAATATACGGTTGATGAGGTATCACGTGACTATGGTGTGGCTTTGAGTGAGAGTCAAACAAGCAGCTTTCGTCGCAAGCGCGCGCGGTCGGAGACGCCAAGAAGAACGCTGCAAATTGAAGTAATCAACAAATTTCATTCCTTTTTTGTTATCTTACAAGTGATAAGGGTAAAATTTTTCTAACACAAATTCCAATCAGCACACTAAGTGGAACGGAGCACAGTGGCAGTGGCCGATGATCAGAAGCACAGTGCTGGTTCTACACCACTCTAGGCTCACCAAGTTTGCGCTTCCGGGTCGGGAAACTGGTACCGAGCTTGTCAAGACAGAGCTCACTCTCTGCAATCCAAGTGGGAGCGCATTAGCGCGACTATCTCAGGACTCCAGGGAGAATGGACTATACCAGCACTCAACGACATTAATGATGAAAGCAATACCCTCATGCAGAAACAGAAGCCACACGTAAAAAGTTGGAAGACCTTAGCGGATGATGGACGCTAGGAAACTAATCGAGTGCGAGAAGTGCTGGGATCCGTATGATAGATGTGAAAGACGGACAGTGTAGAAAAATCTGCATAATCGTATACAATATAGTGGCAGCATTCACCAGCTACTTTTCTACCACAGAGAAGCACTTAAATGTGTTCTCTTAATTATATTTATAATTCAACCACAATGACACTGTGTATTCGCAAAACTGGGACCCCGGGACAGATCGAACCACCATTACCCTTTCCAGGAGGTGGCGCACTACTCACCGCACTACGGGGGCCCTTGCCCTGTTTTTATCTCAGGTAGTTTTCTACCTAACGCTATCATCAACAATCACCAATCAGCGGAATTGATCTGGGGAGCATAAATCGGCACTGACCCCAGTTATGCCGAAGCTATACTGGAAATCACAATGTTAACTTTTTATTTTTTAACAATTATTATTTTTCACAGCAGGGTACAATGTGAAATACAACAACTATAATGTTGAGATATTTACAAAAGTTGGAATGCAGGCCAGATCGAACCCGCGACAAATCTTTCCTGGATCATACTCTGCGTGGAAAATTATAGTAGGCACAAAATAAAAGGTTAACATAATGTCTAGAATATTTTGTAAACTGGATTTTTTTCAAGTACTCAGTAGAAACAATCTGCGAGATTTTATTATTAGCCGTTTGATTAGGTATTCAATTTTATTTCCAAAACAATGGGCGTTCTTACGGCATTTTAAAAGTGTTAATGAATTCTATCCAGAATACTTTCACAAGAATGCCCTATTGTTCTCATGTATCTCAGAAGCAAAATTACCAGCTTTTTGCTCGAATACTTCAGGGTTCACCACCGCCGTCTGCACCAGTGGTTTGTGCATACTGTAGCGAGGAGATTGACGGTCCTATTTTGACAGCTCTGGCACCAAATTCCGAGCGAGCTCAAAAATTCCACACCTATCATTTCATGTGCTGCTATTGTCAAAAGGTTAGCACTGCTTCACATTGACTAATGGAGTACAGAACGAAAAGAAAATAAATTATTGTAGTTTAACTGCTTAAAAATCCATAGAAGTCCCACAACTAAATGACCCACAGATATCGCTCATCCGTGTTCTACTGGTCGGTGGATCCACGCTTCTTATAAGTCCGTCATAGCTAAAATAACAGTGTTACTTTTCCCAAGATCTACTTTCTATTAGCCTCAACATTCGATTATAAATCTGTTGTTTCTTTTTTACACCAATCGCGAGATTGTTATTCAGCACACGTTTACTTCTTCACAAATATAACACACATAACGGTAGCTGACGTTTCGACAGCATCGCTTTTTTCATAGTCTGGAAGGGTACACTAATGTGGAATTTACTAGGTGAAACGCTTCAACAGCGCAAAGAGAGAGATGAAATGATTTTCTTCGTATTTTTGTTGAGCAAACGCGAGGTGTTACTATTCTTTGTTCACGATTAAGCTGACGTTTCGGCGGATTTCGCCTTCTTCAGAGCCGCTTTCTATGAGGTTTCCACTAAGTATGTCACGTAGAAACCAACCGCACAGAAATCACGTGGAAGTATAATGTGTAATATACGTGACATACTTAGTGGAAACCTCATAGAAAGCGGCTCTGAAGAAGGCGAAATCCGCCGAAACGTCAGCTTAATCGTGAACAAAGAATAGTAACACCTCGCGTTTGCTCAACAAAAATACGAAGAAAATCACTTGATCAATGCCGAGGTTAAGAGAAAGTCAGTCGTGGCAGAGAGATGAAAATCTGGACAATAATTAAACGACCACCGGCTTCTCGAAAAACCCACCGTTTCTATCTGTTTTCCACCAAGGAAGAACAGCCGCTTAGAGTAAGTATATGGTTAATCGCTGCACCTCCCCACATCAAAAATCAGTTCTGAGACACAAGGCTAGATCGTGCGTTATCTTAGAGCATTCTTCCCTGCTATTCATTCTCGGATTCTCTAGCTTTGCAACCGCAAAAAAGTGTGGCATCCAAGAAATTAGAGATTTAATAAATTCAAAAACCATTAGGGTATCATTCAGTGATAAGGGAGGAGAGTTCGTAGTTATTCCTCGCCAAATAGATGTTAAGATAACTGAGGAACATCTTAGTGATGTTACCCTTAATCGCCCATCATCTGAAAGGGAGTACAAAAGCCAATACCGAAAACGAAACAATCGGCGGTTCAAAGTGGCGAAGGCGGCATGCTTAAAATCGTCGGTAATTTCGCATTTTAAAGTCAAGAGACCAACATGTCCTGTCTTATACCTACCTATTAAAACACATAAGTTGGTATAACCTGATGATCTTGCGTCAACTAGCCAGCCATCATTTAAGGTTAGACCAATCATCAGCCGTGTTGACGGACCAACGGATAGGATAACAGGGTTTCTAAGTGCCTAATACTAACCCAGTTGCTTAAACATATTCCAGCTCACCTCACGAACACCCAAATGTTTCTACAACGTCTACGTAACGCGTACGTGATGGAGTCTTTCGACGTTACCGCGATGTACACCAACGTATCGAATGACTCCGCAATGCAAGCCATCTTCGAACTTCTTGTTGAACATGAAGGAAGAATAAATATGCATGGCTTGCCCATCCAGCAGCTAATGGCTCTCTTAAAGAAGTGTCTAAACTGCTCGATTTTCAGATGGTCTGGGAAATATTTAGCGCAAAGAAGGGGTTGGCAATGAGACAGCGATTGGCACCAAGCCTTGCCATTGTGTTTATGTCTAAGATAGAAGCCCCTGTTCTCGATCTCCGGCCACTACTCTACTGCAGATATGTAGATGATTGTTTTGCCGTCTTCTCTACACAAGAGGAGATGGGCAAATGCTTTGAATTATTGAACGAGCAGTCGGTGTACATCAAGTTCACCTGGAAGAAACCGAAAGCCGACTGGCTCCCGTTTCTAAACGTTTAAATTAACTTATCAAGCAAATATGACAAAGTGGTATCGAAAGCCAAGTAACCCTTCACACACAAAGAGGGCGATTGTGAGAAACATGTTTCGAGCCTCTATGTGCACAAGAAGGGAACTAAAGGAAGAATCGCCCGACTTGGCTCGGGAAATAGCCATCTCCAATGACTACGAAATAGTAACGCCGCGGGATAAGCTTAGAAGGACAGGCACGCCCCAAAACGAAGGGTTTGGCCGAAACAAAATTCCGTTTACCATGCCCTTTATTAGCGATGAAATAAGTGTAGCGATAAAGCGATGCTTAAGAAGGGCAGATCTAGAGGAACCGGTAGCGATAGTTGAAATGCTACTGGATATTCTACGTCGTCAGTAAGTTCGTAACCGCCTGTATGACCGTCTACGTAAAACACCAAATTGCGTAATTTGCCCTTACGGCAGAGACGGTGACTGCATGAGTTCAGGTACGATATACCTGATTTCTTGTAGTACATGCGGAGACGAATATGCCGGCAAAACGGGCACGCTTTCATGTATCCGCGTAAAGAAACATCTAGATGGCAAATAAAAATCAAAACAAGGCACGCTACTAGGCGCGCACAGGATACAAAGACATAGCGGAAAAGATTGTGATGTAAAAGTCGCTATCATTGCACGGGAGACTAAAACAACAAGGCGTAAATTTCTCTAGACTTTTTGGATAGATTCCAAAAATCCGAGAATGAATAGCAGGGAAGAATGCCCTGAGATAACGCGTGATTTAGTCCCGTATCTCAGAACTGATTTTTAATGCAGGGTGGTGCAGCAGTCAACTATATGCGACTCTAAGCGGCTGTTCTTCCTTGGTGGAAAACAGATAGAAACGGTGGGTTTTTCGAGAAGCCGGTGGTCGTGTAATTATTGTTAAGATTTCCACCTCTCTCTTTGCGTTGTTGAAGCGTTTGACCTATTAAATTACGTATTAGTGTACCCTTCCAGACTCTGAAGAAGGCGATACTGCCGAAACGTCAGCTACCGTTGTGTTGTGTGTTATATTTGTGAAGAAGTAAACGTATGCTGAATAACAGCCTAGCGATTGCTGTTAAAAGAAGAACAACAGTGTTACTTTTGTCTACGGTCATATTTTCTTCCTTCTTCATTCTTATTCATCTGTATTCATTTTATTCACGTTATTAATAGTTTGTGGCCTAGTAGCCTTATATAAGGGCGCGTTTGGCGTAGTGGTCGCAGGCGCCCCGTAACACACATGAAATCGATCTCGGCGCCCATGGCTAACCAAGCCTTCCATCCCTCCGAGGTCGGCAAATTGGTACCCGACTTGTCTGGAAGGATAGCAGCACTGGCTCGATACATCGGTAGGCCACCGTGAGTTATTGTAAAGGCAAGATATGCATCCAATCACCCTCAATCGATGCTTAATGAAGTCGAATGCATGGCACATCCCTCAGGGATTTGATCAACGCCAAGGACGTTATCTATCCTTTTATTAATAGCTTATGAATGAGCTCTAATACTGACCCCATATGGTCATTCTCCTATTTTCTAAATTAGTTTTTAATTCCAGTGGAATTAATGTGTTAATAACTGTTCTTCTCTCCATTAACACTTCAATCTACCTACAGAATTCTCTCAACATTTAGGCTTTAAATATGCATGGAACATTCAGAGAACACGATAGAAAACCGTATTGTCACGATTGCTTCTACAGGTGAGCAGATTTCCCATACTGTAAAATTCATACAAAAATAATTTCGGTTTTGATCAATCAATCGCTGTAGCAAAACTTATTGTCTGGAATGAGAACGTTTAAAATTCATACAACCCTTTCCAAACAAGTCTATTTATTGCTTACATTGACCATGTAAGATGAACCGACCTTATGAAGAATTTGGTCGCACACTTCATTCAAATACGGTAGAACCACTTCTTTGAGAAGTTCTCTCCCTGATCTTTGTTATTCTATTCGTGATTTCTTGCGACAATTTAACAAAGAACGGATAAAAAAAGTGTTGAGGAGTAGCTTCATTTTACCTTTTACACTTTTTATTTTACTTTTTTTAGTAAATAGAGAGCACTCATATCCACTGAGGAACCGATTTAATGTTTCTCCTCGATCTGTCCTATAACTACCACATAGAATTCCGTCAACTGTTGTATTGCATGGAGTCCGATTTTTCCTTACTTAGATGGCCTGTTGTAAAAAAATGTCTAGATAGATGTCTAGATGCCATTGTGTTTATGTCTAAGATAGAAGCCCCTGTTCTCGATCTCCGGCCACTACTCTACTGCAGATATGTAGATGATTGTTTTGTCGTCTTCTCTACGCAGGATGAGATGGACAAATGCTTTGAATTATTGAACTAGCAGTCTGAGTACATAAAGTTCGCCCGGGAGAAACCGAGAAAAAACTGGCTTCCGTTTTTGGACGTTCAAATAGACCTATCAAGTAGCGGTTACCTGACAAAGTGGTATCGAAAGCCAAGTAACAAGAACATCCTTGTCCATTTCCTTTCTTCCCACCCTTCACACACAAAGAGGGCGATTGTGAGAAACATGTTTCGAACAGCCACCTCTGTGTGCGCTACCAGGGAACTAAGGAAAGAATCGCGCGACTTGGCTCGGCAAATAGCCATCGTCAATGGCTACGAAATAGTAACCCCACGAGATACGTTTAGAAGGAGAGCGACGCGCCCACGCGAAACACTTGGCCAGAAGAAAGTCCCGTTTATATTGCCTTTTATAAGCGATGAAGTAAGTGTAGCTATAAAACGATGCTTAAGAAGGGCAGGTCTAGAGGAATCGGTAGCGATAGTTGAAATACCACCGGCTACTCTACGTCGCCAATTAGTTCGCAACCGCCTGTATGACCGTCTGTGTGAAACAACNGATAAGTTTACAAGGAGAACGACGCGCCCACGCGAAACGCTTGGCCAAAACAAAATCCCGTTTATGTTGCCTTTTATAAGCGATGAAGTAAGCGCAGCTATAAAACGATGCTTAAGAAGGGCAGGTCTAGAGGAATCGGTAGCGATAGTTGAAATACCACCGACTACTCTACGTCGCCAATTAGTTCGCAACCGCCTGTATGACCGTCTGTGTGAAACAACAAATTGCGTAATTTGCCCTTACGGCAGGTATTGGCGGAACGGGCAGACCTTTGTGTATCCGTATAAAAGAACACCTAGCTGGCAAACGAAAACTAAGACGAAGCACCCCACTAGGCACGCATAGGATACAAGCGGAGACGATTTTGAAGTAAAAGTCAATATCCTTGCACAGGAGACTAGGACACACGCGCGAAAACTTCTTGAGGCTTTTTGGATAAATTCCAAAAACCCTACAATGAATAGCAGGGACGAATGCCCGGAGATCATACGCGACCTGACCCGGTATGTTCGCATCGATTTTTGATGTGGGATGGTGCAGTCGTCAACCATGTGCGACTATAATCAGCTGTAACTGCCACGACCGACTTTCTATTAACCTCGGCATTGATCAAGTGATTTTCTTCGTATTTTTGTTGAGCAAACGCGAGGTGTTACTATTCTTTGTTCACGATTAAGCTGACGTTTCGGCGGATTTCGCCTTCTTCAGAGCCGCTTTCTATGAGGTTTCCACTAAGTATGTCACGTAGAGACCAACCGCACAGAAATCACGTGGAAGTATAATGGGTAATATACGTGACATACTTAGTGGAAACCTCATAGAAAGCGGCTCTGAAGAAGGCGAAATCCGCCGAAACGTCAGCTTAATCGTGAACAAAGAATAGTAACACCTCGCGTTTGCTCAACAAAAATACGAAGAAAATATAATCAGCTGTTTTAAACTTCCTCATTGGAAGTCACGAAAAAGCGGTGGGTTTTTCGAGAAGTTGTTGATCGTGTAATTACCAGAGAGTTTTTCGTCTTTTTGTAAGTGTTATTGAAGCGTTTGGCTTAGTAGATTGTATATCAGTATACCCTTCCAGGCTCTGAAGAAGGCGATGCTGCCGAAACGTCAGCTAGCGTTGTATTGCATTGTTTTTCTATGGAAGTAAATGTATGCTGTTTAAAAACCTCGCGATTGCTGAACAAGAAAACGACGCATTCATATTCCAATTCCGAGGTTAATAGAAAGTCGATTCTGGGAACTATTAATAAGAGAGTTGGGATGCGGCCTTAGGATCTGTCTTCTCGTCTTCAAAAGAAGTCGTTGGTGTGTTAAATGCTTGTCGAGTACCAATTTTCTGGAAACCTGAGATAAATGTGAAAAGAGGCTCCCAGATGTTCACAACAAGCAGTCACCAACCCATTTAACCGGAGTGACCTTTCCTGCATTGTGACTAGGGTTCTCTTACGACGGCAGAGATTCCTACTGTGATTCCAACGATCGATGGAGTACGATGACTTAGCACTAAATCATTTTTACAGTTACTAATCTGATAAACAAATGGAGAGCTTTCTTGCTATGTAAATGAGGACTGAACCCCATTGGAGCGATTCTTTTTCTCTTCACGTCATATTGTACCAATCTTCTTCTGTCTATGAATCTTCTTTGCAAATCTGTTAAAGACAATTTTTTAGACAATAATTCATTAATTTGATTGATCCACATTCATTGTTACTTCTCGGGCTTTTTATGGATGCGTCTTATGGATAACCTCTCTTGCAGTCAACGACGTAGAAATAGGATGGAACCATCACATCCATTTTTTCACTTTGCACACAAAGTCGTCGAACCCAAAGCTGTTTCTTCCCGCCTTTGGCGTAACAGCCTTAAATAAGTGGTAACGCAATGCTTCGTTGTATAAACACATCCATAACGAACTCATCGAAGTGGCACTTTTTATGATTGTCGACCTCAGCATTTTTTTCACTCGCTTCGTAGTCCTGCAACCGTTACCCATGGACCTGGACGGTTTCTTATATAGCTTCTGAGCTGCAACCTAAGAATGTGACGTCTTTTCTTCTATGGGATCTCGAAATAACCATATTAGATGGATCGCAAGGTCTGCTGCCATACCAATAAGATCTACCCAAGACTAGTGTGATTAGTTGACTGACTGACCAACTGCGAAACATTACAATTCGAGAGTTGTAACAGATAAAAGTTGTATTTTTAAGTAGCAACCAAACAGGTAGATCACGAACGGAAACTACAGTTGTCTTTACACTACTTTAATAGAAAATGAACCAGAGTTTTTTAGTCAAACAACGCATAGCATTATTGTTAGTCCCAGTCTCAATGATTACTAGAGCTTTTACATATCATACTTCAAAAACCACCACTGCCATGACAGAAAAGCTTGATAACAGTAGTTTATTTCCTACTAGTCTTCTCACTTGCCTTAAAAAATAAACTGCTTTTGAACTTCGATTCAACATTCTTACAGAAGTTTGACATAACAACAGCTCATTTTCACTGTGACACCTGAATTTTCTAAAGGAGATAGAATTCCTTGGAATCTTTATAATATCGTTTTCAGGCTATACAATGGCCTACTGTACAAACCTGATGAGCATCAAAAAGCCATTGAGAAACTTATCTAGTACGACCTGCAACTAGTACGAGAACACAACGTACATGCAGTAGGTGGGAAACTCGTCCGAGAAACTCTACTTCTATCCAAATAACAGAATAAAACTATCACTAGCAACAATTTGTGGTCGAGTTTCACCGTATATTATTCATTAGCTAGTTGTTTTTCTTCAGAGACAAGTTCTTATAGATTCTTAATAGATTTGAAATGTGCAATTAAAAGGATATTCGGTGCTGCTCTAAATCGAACTTATCAATAAAGGTTTTCTTTTTCCTTGTCTCGGTTGTAATTTGTAAAACACTGTTCCCATTTGTGGATTTATTTGAAGTGAACAGGCATGAGTAATTTCGGATGGATTTCAACAGATTTCATTCTGTGCTACAAGAAAAATCTTCAAATTCAGAAAGTGTGGAGACCTTGGACTTCAAAGACTACTTGAAATAATTCCTTGCCCTGCTGTAAAAGCATCTCTGGACTAAGGACTTTAAGAGTTTTTTTCGCGCGGTAGTGGTTAAGTCTCTGGGCTTTTCTCAGTTTCACACAAGAATTTCAAGCAGATTGGGGAAGAGAGTCCTTTAATCAACAGGAAGGCGAAGGAGACGAAATTTTACCCGAATAACCCATTTCTATACCAACGCGATTAGTCCGGTAGGAGTGACAGCCGGCTGGAAATATGACGTCGGGAAAAGCGAAAATAGCGTTTATAGGGTTCTAACGGACGACTCGTTCGCGCGCGTTTATCTCGCCCGCGGGGACAGTATCTTATCTGGCGGGTCAGAAGAGGCCAAGTAGCTGACAGCTGGCTGTAAATAACGTCGGATCGGCGCTATTCGCATTTTTCGGGTTTTCGGCGGACAACTGGTACACGGCTACAGTATCCCGGCGTAGGTGTCTGCAGGTGTGACTGCTGCCAGCCGGCTGTAAATAGCGAAAACGGAAAATCGCGTTCAGAGGCGTCCTATGGCGTCTGGACGGACAACTCGTCCACATCGAGTGTTATTTCTTCGCGCGGATCAGCCCTCCCCGGCCCCCTGTCAGCTCAATCATATGGAAAAACGTTCATCATTCTTACCGAGAGTATATAAAGGTCTGGTTGAAGCAAATAATCTCAGGCTATTTTTCGAAATTTGCCTTGTTTGAGCCTTATTTTCCGCACCAAATGTTGACTTTTGGATTGATAGGGAGCTGTCGTTT